TCTTCCTGGATGTTAGCTCATATTTTGAATTATTTCTGAACATATTTTAGCATTATGGGTGTTACTGAAGAAGCTAATTTCCAAGAAGGATGCTCCCAAAAGAAAAGTTTGGAGGCATACCAAGATAACACTGGAAAGAGAACTTAGAAATCACGTAGTCTCAAACAAGGGGAAAAGTATAAAAAAATAAACATGAAGAATATGGAAAGTTAATTATCTGGCACTGACAACTGATTCCCTTCCAACTGCACTGGTTTTAATAAATAAATGACTGAACTTTTAGAGTGCCTATTTCCTGTGGTTACTTTGATCTATGCAACAATAATATCTAGAACAGATACATCTCAAAAGCATATTAAGCCCATAAAAAGCAGAATATCTTGGTTTAAATTGTGTTGCTACATCAGGCACTTGTAATGATTGTTCTAAGGGAAAAATAAAAGCACCGGTTTAACTTTTGTTGCTATTTCCTTTGGTCATGAAACATTGAGAACGGAGAAGAATTCAAGAATGTGTAGAGGATGAAAACAACTGCAGTATTCACAACTGAAGCCTGCAGTTAATCACTGCATCTGCAAGGCAAATGCTATTGTCAAAAGAAATTACTTCAGGGGAATAATTTTACCACTGTGAGTACAGGATTTAATTCATGCCAAGACAAATCATAGGATCCCAGAATTAGACACAGGAGTGATTAAGTGTTCACTTACTCAACACAAGTTGTAAGAAAAAAAGAAATATTGCTTTAAGATACATCTCCAAAGCTGTTATTTTAGGTTTCACTGATATTAACCTGTGTTTTACTATAGCAGAATGGGGTTTCCCCGTGTGAAGTATACAGCAGTGTAAAGCAGTTATCATTTAAGGCATGCTCATACCAAAGCATGTTTGTCCCCTCACCCCCCAGGGTGCTGAGGATGTCACCTCAGCCCCCAGCCACCATTAGGGTTAGTGCTAGAGTTTAGAGAGTTACAGAGCCTACAGCTCCAGGGATACCCAGGCTGGAAAAGGCATGCCAAGGGCAGCACGGCTTAGCATCAGCATTGCTCCTTTCACACCTTTCCAATTTGAGCCACCCACTTTCCTGGGGTCCTCAGGCTCAACCCCAAGCTGCCACTATGATTAGGGTTGACTATGGTTGGCTGCACTGGAACAGAGTGCCAGAGAGGCTATGGAGTCTTCCTCAATGGAGAGATTTATATAAGACATGGCATAAAACAGAAATATGTGGAAAAGCAGAGGCTGAAGTGTTCAAGCCAGGCTGGATCGGGCTTTGAGCAGCCTGGTCTGGTGGAAAGTGTCCCTGGCCAAGGTGTGAGAGACTGAAATGTTATGGCTGATGGCTTCAACATTGTTATGAAGCACTTCTTGCCCATTCTGGCAAAACTGTATAAAGAAGCTCTGACCACTGAACTTTGGAGTGTGAGCAAGCTTAGGGAAATTGGGGTAAGATAAAGGTGACACTGTTATCTCAGGTCTAGGCAGAAGTGAACAAGGCTGAGGGAGAAGATGTAAGCCCAAAGACAGGCAGGCAGCTCTGCCTCTGCCCCCACCAGGGCAGCCCTTCTCACCAGGGCTTGTGCCTGCTGGCCTCAGCTGTCCCAGGGGACAACCTCGCAGGTGTTTGTGCACTGGGAAGGAGTCCAGCAAAGAGATCCTTTGAGATGACTCAAAAGGGCAGTTTGAAAGCCATGCTGAGTGTCTAGAGGGAGAATTCTCATTAATTAAATACCCAGCATACCTTCTTAAAAACCATTTTTCCTTCATTTTTCAGAATTTCTCAGGTTCCTTTTTTCTCCTAAAAACTGGGAGCGGAAATTACAGTAAAAGGTCAGAAGACAGGAGTTAGAAAAAGCGTACACACACCAGCAAAAGCTGTTAAAATATTAAACGTCTTTCATGAGAATGGAGCAAAAAATCAAACCACAAAGAAATTACTATTACTTTTCTTAACTCAGAGCTGCTTCTCTGGGGAGACTGGACACATTAAGTTCTGACATTGGCAGCAAATGCTGATACTGAAGTTTCTGTGCACATAACCAATTAATTCCACCCAATATATAACACATGAGAGAGGAGGAAAAAAATAGGAAAAAAATACCTCAGGAAAGAGGTAGTCAGACACTACAAATTCCAGATAAACACAACAGATGCTCTAATAAACATTAAGAAACTTATGATAAGCATCTATTTGTTTTGGGGGTTTTTTGCTCAAAGGTATTTTTTATCAACTTTAGGCCTCAAGTTCCTCACAGTCAAAAAGGGACACCACAAAAGTACAGCAGTCACAAAATAAAGATATTTCATTGGGTCATCATGCAAATAATGTCTTAGCAAATTTCTTTCCTAAGTATCGTCCAATCTGGTTAATATTATGAAATGTCCTCTGTGAAACAAATAGCCTAAATAGACCTCTTGCATCAGTGGAGATATCTGATGGTTACAACTGAGTAGTTCTGACTCAACTTGTCAAAGACAAGATGGTTAACAACATGAAAAGCAAGTACTGAACTAACTCGCTCTCTGAATTGTTAAGAATAAAGAAGAAGGATAAACTATTAGAGTAATATCAAGGAAAAAAAAGCCTGTGATTTTTTTTACCTTCCTTTTTTCTGACACAGAAACTTAACTGTTTTCTTCAACATATCAGAAATCAGTTCTAGGTTTTTTTACTATGTAGAGATAGCATGCTTAAAACCAAACCAAACCAAAAATAAAACCACAAAAACAAACAAAAACAAAAAACACTCTCACACAATAAAAAAATGCATAAACAAAAAATCCCAACCAGCAAACCAAATAACCAATGCACATAAAAACAAAAACCCAAACTCCAAAAGTAAGCAGCACGTCCCTACAAACACACAGTGCAAGACACGTTTTTAATCTTTTTGTTGTTCTGGCCACAAAGATGCACACAATTTGATCACCTGGCAGTAACCTATGGTAGAGAAATGAGTTTTTGAGTGTGAATCAGTAAAAATGCTTTCTCTCAGCAACAAAGCTAAACCTGGTGAGGATGCTGTATTTCCATCAGCAGTGAAGCTACTGCAGGTTTGCTCTTTGTGTGCCTGTGCTTCAATTTTTCAAAGTGCTCTTAAACATTCCAGCTTACAGTGTCAGTGCATATTCACTTAATGAAGTAGTTACAGACCTTAAGAATAAGGAGCTAAATCACTTAACTAATTTCTGCTTGTCTTCTGGGAGCCTGCACATCTAATACGACGAAATACATTCACACCATAATGCACTTCTGATGTTCTCAACTACAGCAAATTGCTATAACTTTTTAGCAGAAGTGTAAATCATGGTGGCATGAAGACAACTAGTTTATTAAGCAGTGAATTTCAGTGAAGAATCTTCTTTGAGAACCCCACTTTAAGTAAGAACACACTCTAATTTAGAAAACATGGGCAATTCTTAAAAAGATAGCAAATGTAGAAAGCTTTATTTGAAATGCATTTAAAGGCAGTAAACCCAGTAGTTTTTAAACCCATAAACCCAGATGGTTTTAAAGCTACAAAGCATTGATTAAAAGAAATAATTCAGTTCATTAAATGTTCACAAGTACGTAAGAGCAAGTCAGAACACAATTATTCAGGCCATTGAGACAACTCTTAATAAAAAATCAGATACCACAGACCTTGGTTTGAATAGTTTCTGTGGTTTTCTACTCACGGTAAGCATGGTGGGCAAATCTTGGGAAGAATTTGGTTTGAATTCTTTGCCACCATCTGAAGCTTAGACAATGAGAAACTGTGGGCAGAATAAGATTCATTTTTGTAAATGCGATTAAAAATTTGTCATAGAGATCACGTCTGATGAGGCAACAACTGATCACAGAATCAGTAAGGTTGGAAAAGACAGTAAAAATCTCAGAGTCCAACCTTTGACTAAACACCATGTGCTAAGTCATTTCTTGCACACTTACAGGGATGGTTACTCCATCCTCTCTGTTCAAATGCTTGATCACCCTTTCAGTGGAATTTTTTTCCCTGATGTCCAATCTTCACCTCCCCTCACTGCAGCTTGAGGCCATTTCTTCTTGTGCTGTTGCTGGTTACCCAGTAGAAGAGGCCAACCCCACCTGGCTACAGCCTCCTTTCAGGTGGGTGTAGGGAGCAATAAGGTCTCTTCTAAGCCTCCTTTTCTCCAGGCTAAACAACTCCAGCTCCCTCAGCTGCCCCTCATGTGACTTATTCTTTAGACCCTTCACCAGCACTGTTGCCCATCTCTGGACATGCTCCAGCTCCTTCTTGTAGTGAGGGGCCCAGAACTGGTGAGGTGTGGCCTCACTGGCACCCAGTACAGGGGACAGTCACTGCTCTGCTTTGCTGGCCACACTATTGCTGACGCAGGCCAGGATGCCACTGACCTTCTTGGCCACCTGGGCACACAATGGCTCCTGTTTGGTTGCTGCCAACCAGCACCCCCAGGCCCTTTTCCAGCAGGCCACTTTCCAGCCACTCTGTCCCCAGCCTGTAGTGCTGCATGGAGTTGTTGTGACCCAAATTTAGGACCTGGCATTTGGCCCTGTTGCCCAAGCAAAGGACCCCACACAATTGGCCAAAGCCTATTGATCCAGCCCAGATCCCTCTGCAGAGCCTTCCTCCCCTCCAGCAGACCAATACTCCCACACAGTCTAAAAACTTACTCAGAGGGCACTTGATTCTCTCATACGGATCATCAATAAAGGTATTAAACAGGACTATCCCCACTACTGAGCCCAGGGAAAACCACCAGTGACTGTTCAACAGCTGGATGTGGTTCCATTCACCTCCACCCTCTTGGACCCAGCCATCCAGCCAGTTTCTTACCCAGCAAAGAGTGCAGCTGTCCAAGCCATGAGCATCCAGCCTCTCCAGGAGAATGGTGTGGGAAATGGCATCAAAGACTTTACTCAAGTCCAGGTAGACAACTCCCAAAGCCCTTCCCTCATCCACTAGGCAGGTCACTTGATCATAAAAGGAGAGCAAGTTGATCAAGCAGGACCTGTGTAAATGACCTTGTAGTTAATAAAATTACATAGCTAGCAGGTTTCACATAATTACCACAGTAATGCTTTCATTTTCAGGAAAATTCTGGCCTTTAGTATCTATCTTAGATTATCCTGTTAGGGATCTTTCTTCAAATAAAAAAAAAAAACCCTAGGACTATAAAAGCTATGTTCTTATAACAGCACCTCATTTCCATGATAACAACAAAATAAATTTGTGGTAGATATGACTTATACAGCTTCTTCTGACAAGCAGGCCCACTTAGCATACATCTATTTGTCTTGAATTTTTCCATTCCATAGGAAAATGTGGAACAATTTTCCTAAAAGCTTCACAATAAAATTAAACATTGCATAAAGAAATATGTCAGTACCTCATTTCACAATCACTTTCATTCATTAAATTGAGCTACAGTTTTATCTGTTGGTGCAATTCTCCTAAGTGAAAAAGTCTAAATAAAGCATGATTCTTTAAAAAACTAACAAAAATGCGACTTGGCATTTTTTCAGAAATTTGAATGGACTCATTAACGAGCAGATCCCTCTACAACCAGCTAGTTTCCCTTCTCAGAATTACCTGCCCTTCTCAGAATCACCAGTTCCAAGAATACTAATTAACAAAACCTTTCCAGTGAGAGAAATTCCAGCAAGAATGGGGAACAAAAAAATAATAATGAGTCAGAATTCTTGCTCAGAATATGCATTGACAAAATCTGCTTTTCTCTGTAAAAAAAATATGTACAGACTTTTGCAGCCCCAAAAGAACCCACCCAAGATCCCTCATTTGAGGATTTAGAATAGAACCTCCAATAGTTGTTACATTTGAGGCCATGGTCAAACAATCCAGACATAAAAACACACAAGTTATTAGAACAAGGAAGTACTAAATCTTGAATATGCTAGCCAGCCACAGGGGACCAAAGTCCCTCATTTCAGCACCTATTCCAGTACTGCCCTTTAATTCCTATGAAACACAAATTCTGTCTCAGAGGAAGATTGCTTTAACAACAGACCATACATTCAAAACCAGGCAGACAAGCTTAGAGGAAAGTTATATATTTTAATTGCATAGGCTTAAGAAATGCAGTTCAACATACAGTTAATTTCAGTGACAGGTGTATGAAAATCAACGTCTCTCTCTCATTAACTGTGTATTTTTATTTCTTAACACAAAGAATTTTACAGAATTAGCAAGATGTATTACATTGAAAAGCGTACCTGTCAGAACTATCTGAAATAGAAAAGAATATTTTAATTTATAATTTAATTTTTGTGGTTGCAGAGGTGGTTGTTTTGGGCCTTTTTAAAATATTTTCTGTTTTATACTTTCAGAATAGATAGGGAATGCTATATATCAGTTTGACAAAATATATAATTGCTATGTTTTAGCTTAAAAAACTCAGCAATATAAAGATAGCAGATATTTAAATATAAATTATTTTTTAAAACATTTAGCAAAATACAGGAAACAAAAATATGGATTACAAAATAAATGCGTGATTACTAAAACCTTTGAGATCCAATGCTCAGTTTCAGATGCCTGATCAAAATGACAAAGCAAGATCAGTCAAGAGGGTGCACAGGCCAAGGGATAAATGCTGTGAACATCTCTGCACTTTCAGTACAGCAGACATCCTCAAAACTGGAAAAGGATGACCTGCTCTCTTTCAAGCTTAATAGCAGCATAAGAAAAAATAAACGAGACAAAGAATGTTAAAAGAAAATTTCTGAAGGAAAGCTACCATTCACATTTCTGCAGTCAAATGTGAAGCTTTTCACAATGCATCAGAAAACAAAATTTTCTCTTGCGCATACCCCTTCAGGCATTTTAGCATTCTAATTCCCTCTTATTTTAAAATAGGAAACTTTATTTTAATATTTTTTAAATGGCTTTTTGTATGGGAAACAGCCTTAATAATTTCCAGTGAAAAGACATGAACAGCCTTTTTATTAGAAGAATGGCTAGCATAACTCACCAGACACTCCATGAAATTTGCCATGTATTATTCTGAAAGCATCTGAAGTTTTCTGTCCCTGATATCAGTTTAAGACACCAATTATAAAGTAATGCCCATCAAGATTAAATCCTCTCTTACTTAGTCACTCCTTGTTTAGAAAATGTCCCTTCTTCTTTTTTGTCATATTCCACTCTAAATTCCCCATGAATTCCTTAAGATATTAACAAAATCATCATCACCCCCAATTCCAAAACTTAATCCTTCATAGTAATCTTCAAACTCAGAATAGGACACTTCACTGGGGTTGCTGCAGGAATCCCCTAATGCTTCTAGAAATGATGATTTGATTTCTTCTTCTGCAGTTTTTCCTGTGAAAGTATATTTTTCTATTAAATACATTTTAAAGATGAGTGAATATGAAATATTTAATATATTTCAGGCAAGAAACTTCCAAATTTTAGCATGTAAATATTTTTTTCATTAATAAATTCAATATTCTGATTTCAGAATTAAGTCATTGGTTCACTTATTACCACCTGTAGAAATTACCTTACTTTAATAGCATGATAGAATTGAGTATCCACAGAAAACACAGGGTCAGCCAGTCACAATGAATTATGAGAGCTTGAAAATGTTTTTCTTCAAATGACTGCAAAAGCTGCATAATGCATTTGTAAACTAAAATTCTGAAGTTATCTTGTAAGAAAGTGCATGTTTACTGTAATAAAACTTCAAAGTTCTGGGAAAACTTTAAGATGGAAATTGGCATTTGAAAAGTGTTCTGCAATTTACATCTGTGTCTTAGCAATTTTATAAAGGTAATAATCAAGATTATTTCTTTGAGGTAACAAGTACAAAAAATATGGCATTACAGCATTGGAAAAAAATCATATATTGTATCCCTATACCCCCTGTGACTTCATGAGTTATCATTAAAATCACTAGCAGTATAAAAAAGCCCCTCTCTTCTACAGGTAAAAAAGAAAGGGTCATGACATCATGGAGACTTTCACAGTGACTAGTTTGTTACATGGAGGTATTGTTTTCTAAAACAGACATACAAGTATTTAAATTCCTATTTTTTCAATATCAGACTTTAAACATTTTTGAGAATCCTGTAAAAAATAATGAAGAAACCAGCATTTCCTCTGTAGAGGATGACAAACCTGTCCCAGAAATAAATTAAGTTCCTTCTGAATAAATTATTCAGGCGCTGATTACATTCCAAGTCAGTTAGAATCCTTGCACATTTTGATGGAAAACAGTAATGTGAAAATGAGAGTATCCTACTAAGTGAAAGATAATATCATATTTGCCACTGATAACTTACAGATGAAAGCTGTGAAATAACTGCTTACAGAGGTAGGCAAAAGAAGTACTCTACACACAGGCAGTATTAGCAGCTTGATAAAAAGGGCAAGTATTAAAATTGTGTATATGAACACATTACTACTTATAGTTATGTTTGGAGAGACTCAATTCAGATGAAGAAAGTTCCCCTTTAACAGCTCAAGTCTAAGTAAATATGAAAACAGTTTGTATTTCCAACCAGTTTCTGGATCTGCTATCTCTGCTAACAAGAAGATTTCCGTAGTTACAGATTTTTGTTTGTTTCTTCATGTGAATTACCTGCCAATACCAGAGGATGTTTCTTTGCACAGTAATATTTTCTGACATTTACCATAGGCACACTCCCAGTTTTGTTGAAATCCAGTTTCATATAGGCCTATAGGGGAAAAAGAGACTTTCATATTAGCATCTCAGGAAAAAAAAAAACAAGTGGAAAGATGAAAAGATCAAATACACTTAACTACCTAGCACATACTTTTAGATCTTGTGCAATGTATGATGTCAATTCACCTATTTCATGTAAGGCATCAGATACTAGAAAATCCTTCTAGATCATGCAGTTTCATGATTATTTTACCTCAACAGTTTTCACATCAAATCAAATGTGTGTCCCCTGGTCAACACAAAAAAAAAAAAATTGTCTCCTCTCCCTAATTTCCAACTCATCTTTAGAATCAGAAGTTCAGCTGCTTCCCTTCTGCCTCCTCCAATTATTAAGATTCCGCATCATTCTGGCAGAAGCCTCCCCACAGCCTCTCCAGCACTGCTAACAGCAGCTTCATTTGCATTTCAGTTTACTCAAATACACATGCTCCATACATAAAGCTAGGAGAGTCACATCCTCCATGATAGAAAGCATGAAAGTATTTGTCATTTTTCTTGATCTTGACATCCAGTTGCCATTCCTTTGGCTGGTTTGTGATCAGTGTCTGATACTGCAAACAGCTGCACATTACATTATAGCCAAATAACAAGTGGCATTTCCCATATAACATGTCTCACAAATACAATGACTCTTACTGTTGGTCTCAAAGGAGACAGGTATTGCTGCATCCTATTTCAGGCACTTCAGGAAGAAAGTCTACACATGCAAATTTGCCAAAATTTGTCATTTGCCAGAATAAAGAAACAGGCTTCTGGAAGACATTGTCTCAGGCCGCCAGATAATTTATACATAGGACTGAACTATAAGAACAGCACATATGCATGAAAACTCAAAATAATAAAGGAATTAATGCTAGAATTTAAAATGAACTAATTTAACAATGGAACAGCATGCATGCTGCTGGCCGGTATTTACAAACGAACGGAGACAGGGCAAATCCGAACCAGTGTCGTGAGCTATTTATTCAGCACACCAGTCTCAGTACATTGTTGGGACAATGGAGACAGGATGTTAACAGCTCTCTGATCCAAAGGAAATGCCAAGGGGGTGTGATTTTAGCCAATCACGCATAGAGCAAAACATATTGACAAGAATTCTATCCAATCATATAAAACACACGTAATGGTAGCTAAAACAATGGCTCATTCATGAGAGACAAAACACAGAGATCCATTCATACTGACCTTCTGAAGATATACATTAAATAACCTTGTTGCAATCTATAAGGCAAATTTTACAGAAGTCTATTGTGTTATTTGTCACGTCTGCTCTACTGCTTAGAAAACTTTTCGCTGTATTAGCAACGTTCACAAAACTGCTCTCAAAGGCCTGTTCTTTTTAACCATTTTCTCAAAACCCTCTAACTTTATGAATCCCAGTAATGCAGTCCACTAATTTACCTTTCTGTTGATAAACTGATCTGAAACTTCAGTAAGTCAATTTCCAGGTATAGAACTTAAGAAAAATAACAACAAAAACCAACAACTAGAATATGATGAGTGACTAGCTCCAAAGTTAGACTGCAAAATATCTACACTTAAAATATCTGCAATAAAACTTACTTTTCTTACAAATGTTTTCCTGTATTCATTCATTTCTCCAAATATGGCATGAGTAAATTCTCCATAGTCGACCTTATCATTCTTGCTGTCATCAAGAATAAGCCATAAGGATTCAAAGTCCTGCAATTTAAAAATATTTTGCCAGAATTCTTCACTATATCTTGAAAGAGAACAATTATAATAATAGGACATTACAGTATTCTCACAAAACCCCCAAACTTCTAGATCCATACTCACTCAGAGATTTGTTAAAATAACGCTTGTCATCAGTGGTCACTGATGACCATAATTCACATTTTTCACAGTTCTGATAACTGTGAGCTACTTTTACAACATAATATATAAAACAAAGAAAAAAGCTAAGTAGAGAGCATAAACTAAATTATTTTTAAAAGCCTAAAGAGAAAAAATGGGTTCAATCACACTTCCTTCTTCATATCATGATGTAAAAAAAGATTGCATGTTTTGAAATATATAATTTTCCATTTTTAACAACTTCACATAGTACCAAGTGCAGAAATACCAATATATCATAAGGGGAAAAAAAATACCACCTAAAGAAAACATGCAGAACCCAGGTTGATTTAAGCAAAGAAAAGAAGCAATTCCATAAATTAAGAAAGATAATACCCACATTTAGTTCCAGCTAGACTCACCACTTCAGGCATTTCCAAATGGAAAACTTTTAGAGCTTCTTTGAAGGCTGCCCGAGAGAGAAAACCATTTCTGTTCTTGTCCATTTGTCGGAAATACTTTCCTAAGCCTGTTATAACCCGAACTCCTCTTTTACTTAGTGTTTCTCTGAATATACCTGAGGATTTAGAGAAATAAAGGACACAACATTTACCTGAAGTTGTCCACTTGCCATGGAGACAATAGAGAAGTAAAGAACACCACATCTATATGTGATGGTGCTGGTTAGAAAGACATACCCGTGCATTCAGGCTCCCTTGTCTTTGATGAAAAAATGCCAATCCAAAAGGAAATCACCAGTTATTTAACATTTGAGTGACAACCATATAAATTATGTCTAATAGGCAATATCTAATAAACTTTTTTCAAAGAGACCACATAAGGAAAGAAAAAATGGCTATTGCCCTCAATATGTTCAGACTGTAAAACTGCCTACTTCTGTGAGAACTGATTACATGCCATGATTACCATACAAAGCAACTTTGGAACAACTGCTTCACAAGAATAAAGAAATTTCATTATGAGACACAGAGTTGCTTCTTTATTCTACAAAGACAGAGAAACCAAAATTGAATGGGTTCTGGTAGATACACACCTTGAATCTTCTTGAAAACGTCACTGTTATCAACCACTTGCCTGGAACGCTCTTCCTTGAATTCCACAGAGGAAGCTCTACAGAAGTCAAAATTAATATTAATTAGTAAAATTACATGTAATATGACTATATTCAAAACAGATCTAGTGAAAAATGCCAACATACTCAACTTTTTATTTAATTCATATACTACCCTTGTAAACACAATATCCAATTGCTTGAGTTTGAGAGGGCACTCACAAAAGTTTTTGCTGACCAGCTGCAGATACGCAGAAATTCTCTTCTAACAATATTAACTGGAATTGTCTCTACTAATTCATTAACCATGGATAATTCCTCCCATGCATAAAATCTCCAGAAGTTTAGTTCAATCCTAATCTCATACCACTGGAAGAGTTTGTTAAAGCAATTACATTTAATCACCAACAAGAAAATAACATGTAATACTTTTCAAATCTCTCTTTAGAACACAAATAGCAAAGGTGTGGACCAAAAGTATATCTAGAAATTATGATTAAATTTTGTGGAGTTTTTTCTGCTAAATTCCCTTCTGAGAAGGGTTTCCCACAAGCCTTCATCAAAAATTACTATAAAGGTTGATAAAAAAATATTTTGGAAGAACCTGCTGGAAGACAAAAAAAAAAAAAAACCAATAAAGTCCTACAATTATTTTAATCAGAATATTTTAAAAAATGGAAAATCATTACTGTCAACTCTGAGCTGCTTGTTCACCAGTGTTTTGCCATGACAAACTCCTGCTTTCTGAGGCCAAAGACTTATCTCTCTGCTATCTAGTAGGACTTTTCATCTCCACTTTGGGTACCTTCCATTATGAAGTCCCTAAAAGCTTACTTACATCAGATCACCTAAACTGGAAAGTCAACAAGCACCTGCAGAGGACCAAATAGTCCCTCTAGAACATATGTAAACCAAGAGATTCATGGTTTGTGACAGAAGGGCATAGCTGCTCCTGGGAATTTGCAGTAGACATTTTGGACTACAGCTGAACAGGATTTTCTCTCAGTAGAGTAATGAAGGTAAGAAGACTCGATTCAAGACTTATGCACCAGAGACTAGAGAGCTCAATAATATCCTCATACAGAAGAAAAAGATAGACTGAAACTTAGTCACCAATGGAAAGGATACAGAGCGAGTATAAAAAAGGAAATAATAATAAATTCCACCACAGGTAGTAAAAAATCCAAAATTACAACCCATTGAGCTGCTCTTCTTTATGGTTTTTCTATTCAGAGATAACATTGGTTCAACTCCAAATTTCACAGTTATAAGATCAGCCACAAATGATAGAAAAAGCTGCTTTACTTGAATGATAGGCTTCTGAGATGTAAAATGTCTTACATAAACTAGCTGAAATTAAACTATATTGTGTTTTATTTCACTGAAACCTAGCCAAGAGGGAACAATTAGCACTAAGCATCATACAAATATACAGTTCTAGAACCAATTAAATTTGAATTTACTGTTCTATGCACTGTTAGCTTACTATGGCTCCTTTGCAAAGGTTTCAGTCTAAAGGGACTTAAGGTGAATATTACCATATCTGAGAACAAGCTTCAGGTGTCTAAACAATTGCAGAAAGAACATAATAGTCAAATTCTGCTGACAAAGTAGTCTTTAGATACTGAGCATATTTAATTGAAATTAAAATTATTCTCTTCCTAATCAGGAAGGGATCAAAGTATAAGATATATGAGGAGAGCCTGGGAGAGCTGGAACTGTTTAGCCTGGAGAATAGAAGCCTTGAGGGGTCTTAGCCTCAAGTACATACGAGTACCTGACAGAAAGGAGTAAAGAAAACTGAGACAGGCTCTGCTCAGTTGTGCCTGTTGACAAGACAAGAGGCAGTATGCACAAACTAAAAAAAAGGAGGTATATGATTTGTATATAAAACATGTGACCTCAAACAAAGCAAAAGAACAGATTCACATTTCCATTCTTTCTTTAAAATTACTCCTTACCATTCCAGGAAGTTACTGGACTATGCAAAATCTTCTAATATCAATTATTAATTTCTCTTAACAACAGCCTAAATATGGATTCTGCTTTAAGCACTATAAACAATAAGGTATTAGGAACTAATTTTTTTTTTTTTTTTTTTTTTTTTGCTTAAGGAAGGAAAGGTAATTTGAAAAGCAGTTATGAGCACTTACTTTAGATAATGCATAGCTGCTTCATCAATACTGATCACACGAAGGGTGAAGAGAGGGTTCTGCTTAACACTTTCTGGAACGTTATGATCGACACTTCGGAAAGTCAGATTGGCTCCCTGTTGGTAAAGCACACAATAACTTAAAAATAGGTTGTGTATTTCACATACAGAGGGGAAGGGGAAATAAAGAAAAGCAGCAAACTAAAAGCAAAGAAGACTGAGAAGAATAAAAATTGCAGTAGCTCTAACTGTAGTATCTGGGCAGGCTTGGTTTATAAAGTCTCCAAAACTCATGACTTTGGAAGGAGGAGACAGAGACACTGTTCCTGTGCAAGGGTCTCATTTGGACCACTTGGACTTTGTGAGAGATCTGCATGTCTCAATGTCAGCCCAGGAAGCATGATAGCTGATATGGAGATTCACAGACACAGCATCATCCTAAAGAGGTAATGAACCCAGTTCAGTACATTTTATGGATGACTTTTGGATGCATCTTTATTCAGAAAACACTTCCATCTGCAGGCTGCAGAAATACACCTAACAATAAAACATGAAAAACCCAACAAGTAGCTTTATCTTCCATAGTATAACTCATCTATTTCTTCTTCTAAATTCTTAGGTGGTTGTGTAAGCAGTTAGGATAGCCATGTGATTAGACAAAACATGCTAAAACTCATGTCAACATCTTTTACTTTCTACATTTCTCACAAACATGGTTTTTCCTCCAAACTTCAGATTTGCAGGAGTATTTGAAGAATTTGGTGAAAATAGTCAGTACTTGAAAACTTCCTCAAGTATTTATAAACCATGAACACTTCACCCATTACAGAAGGTGAAATATGATTTTTAGTCAGCCACCAGATTAGATGGCAGACAAAGCTTAACATTGATTCATACACTTGCTCTAAACAGCTGTTGTTTACATTTCAAACGGTAGATTAAAAACAATTAACCTGCAATTTCTGCATGTTTAAAAAATATTTAATCATTGCTTCGAGTTTGCCAGCAGACCTTGCAAAGATTATTTACTTTCAGCAAGTACTTGGGTCACTTTCAGGATTCTCCTTCCCGAGAGAAGTGGATCACTTCGTCCAAAAAAGGTCCAGACTGTCAGCAGTCTTGTGCCCTCTAGGGGGAGAACTGCAAAGTACAGCTTCATCTGAAAACTAAATTTGGAACCTCTAAAACAAGGGACAACAAAACAATCCAGACTTCTGAAAGTCTTTAATTCAAAAACTGTCACTTAGGGGGAAGACTTTGGTCTTCCTGGAAGGCTAGATCACAATTTAAAATTCAAATACACAAATATTACCGCCAAAGAAATAGTATTACAGTCAGCAGAAGAATACTTACAACGTAGAAGTCACTAAGATCATAAGCTTTTCCCTTTCTTTGTCCACGTTGATGATGATAAACTCCCTTCTGAATGAAAGGCAAGGCATTTGTCCTGTGAAATAATTCAAAACTGGTACTGAAACAATTATATTTATTTAAGATCCTTGGATGCTTGGACAAGTGAAATATGTTTTCTAAAACACTTTTAAAAAGTAATTAATCCTACCTGTTTTTTCCAAACTGTCGAAATTCATACACAGTAAGGGATTTGTCACATGTGAAAAAAAATCCAATCAACTCCCTACAAGCATCATGACCATTTCTAGAAGGAAAATTGAAAAGCACCTTTATGTTTTTCATCTACATAAATCCAATTCAACCCAAACATAAGTAACATTTATTTTGGAATCAGAATGGTTTGAGTTAGAAAGGACCTTAAAGATGATTAAGTTCCAAAACCCCCAGCGTGGGCTGGGACACCTTTCACTAGACCACTCTGCTCAGAGCTCCATCCAGTCTGGCCTTGAACACTTACTTGCAGGCATGGAGCATCCACAGCTTCCCTGTGCAACCTGTTCCAGTGCCTCACCACCCTCACAGTAAGGAATTTCTTCCTAATAGCTCATCTAAACATGCCTGCTTTTAGTGTGAAGTCATTCCCCCTTGTCCTACTACTACACACCCTTTAAAAAAATACCCTCTCCAATTTCCCTGCAGCCTTTTGTGGGCACTGGAAGGGTCGAAGGCAAGAGGGTCTCCCTGGAGCCTTCCCTTCTCCCGACTGGACAATTCAACTCTCTAAACCTGTCTTCCTAAGAGAGGTGTTCCATCCCTCTGATGATCTTTGTGACCTTCCTGTGGGTCACTCCAACGGGTCCTTCTCGTGCAGGGGACCTCAGAGGTGGGCAGAGCACCGCAGGTGGGGTCTGACAGGAGAGAAGCAGAGTGGAAACATCCCCTCCCTTGCCTTGCTGGCCATGTTTCTTTTGGTGCAGCCCAGGACATGGCTGGTTTCCTGGGTGCAAGTGCACACTGCCAGATCATGATGAGCTTCTCATTCACCAGCCCCCCCAAGTTCTTCTCCTCAAGGCTGCTCTCAGTATCCATTTCATTTCCAATGCTGCATGCTGTACAACTGATTTTTTTAAAGAGCTCTTTGACTATTTTCTCTAACCCACCATGAAATTCAAGTTGTGGATACGGTCATGTATTTTAATTCAATATTTCATTCTCCATAATGCTAAAACACCTCTCAAGGCTTCATGTTTTAGTATGCCAATATAATTTTCACTGATTAACTAAAGGATTACATACACCAGGACTACTGCATTCATTGAGGTATATGAAAGTATGTTGCTGAATATTCAGTTGTGTCTAACAAGTATACAGCTCACAGCTGCAGAAAAGCATCACTTTCAAAACTGAAAAATATGTTTATACTACCACTACTCAAATCAGAATGTTCTAAAATTTAATACATAAGCAGCTATGAACAAGTTGCAAAGCCACTACTACTTATGGTAGTTGTCACATCTAAGATAAGGCTAAAATAATTTTAAACAACTGAGATGCAACAGCTAAAAGCACTATTTTAGACAGCCCCTGTGGTAAGTGTCCTGATTAGAGCTATGGGTATGATGGTAACATAACACAACTAATAGATCTTAACATTGTACAGTGGGACTGTAAAACCACTATCCAATAGCCACGTCAAAACTTGTACTACACATGGACACCCACACATAATTTTTTCCTTCAACATAGAGAGCAGAAATATTCAGTGCAATTAATCAGTTCAAGAGAGTAATTCTCATTCACAAATTGAGAGCATTGAAAAACTTCACAAAATTTGTGATTACCTCGATATAATCCTACTATCGAAACGTAGCTTGCTGGAGAGCATGTTCTCAGTTAATCCTGATTTGGTCCTTATTCTGTGAAAATAATGCAGCATGTTAATGATACCTATATGCTCCCAGATAATTGTTACATAAAACTCAACCATTTTCCAACAGCAAAAACCATGAAATACAGTATCCTTGGCAACTGGCTGAGGAGATGATCCTTTGTAGTTGAATTAGAAAGCAACTCAGAGCTCTGAAGTGTTCTGTTATTATATAATATGAGAGTACATTCACAGAGAACATAGAGATGAATGGGAAATTTTGCTTACATACACTTACATAAAGTATTATCTTTACCTCTACCACCCACCACAGTTCCATGAAACAATGCATTCTCTTGCAAAAATATCCAGGTGGGGGCATTTTTACCCACATAAATATTTTATATTGGCCGTATTACTAGTTCCAGAAAGAAAGATTTGTCTATGTGATGGATGTAAGAAATTGAGACTGTTATTTTTGTCTTTTTTTTCCTTTTTTTAAAAATACAAAGATGACATTTGATGAGAAGGACTTAAGAGCAGGATGTTAAAATGCACAAAGCAGAAATTCTTGCCTGAATGTTGAGAAAAATAGAACAAAACTCAGACCTGCAGATTCATTTAATTTTATGGATCACAGTGTTTCCTTAGGTTTTTTTAAAGTCCCTGAAGCTACTAGTTCAATGCTGACAGTCCAGGAATGTCATTTAAATGCCAGTAGGGTTAATTATTGCAGCAGAAATCAAAACATGAAAGAAAAGTATGATTATTGTGAAGGTCTACATTAGCATTTACAGATGCATATTTATGCAATTTATGCACCTAAGGATAGGAATCTCTGAAAGGATTGCAAGCATCCAAGCACTTAGAAAAGGCTGGCAAATCCTTGTGATGAATAATATCAACATAAGCTTAACAATGTTCTCCCAGTTTTTATAAATTCTATGAATCAATCATAATTCACAGAGAATTCACAGAAAAAGGTCCCTATTACCTCACTAGGCAATAACAATCACAGGAAAGCTACAAAAAAGGCCTCACATGAAGCTGGTGGATCCAAGCCAAAACAGAACATTTAGAAAAGCAAACAGAATTCACAGAGCTAAAAAAAATATATAGTAGAAAATTTACTTTTATAAACTTACTTTGTTTCATGGAGGGTCCTTTTTCTAAAACGCATTGGTGCCATCCCAACTCCCAAAAGTCCTGGAGCTTCCTTGCAAGCATCAGAACGTGTGGACTGCTCTGGATCACTTATAACAGCTCTGACCAAAAGAGCAGGGAGAAACCCTCTGACTGTTAATATGGCTGGATTTCAGGTCTTACATATTTTTATGCAGGAAAGAAAACATCCAAGAATAATACAGCAATACAATCTTGGAGTGATCCATGAAGATTGCATAAATTTGTGGGTCTAATTTTTTGTTTATTTTTACAAATTCTTAAGTCTCTTTCACAAAATCAAACATACGCAACAATATTCTGGCCATGCACTGCTATGTAGTAATGTTAAATGCAGATACATATTATTTAAAGTATATTTTATATATCTTTATATAAAATAAATCTTATTACTATGAAGGCTTGTGGTGTTTTTCATAATTTCTACTACTTCTGTAATATTTCATCAGTGATATTCTTTAACCATGGCTCCCTCCAATATCAGTGATATCAGTTTACTAGCACTGGCCAGTGACATCACCTCAGAATCACAGAATTGCCTAGGTTGCAAGGGACCTTAAAGATCATCTAGTTCCAACCCATGCTGTGGGCAGGACACCTTTCACTAGACCAGGTTGCTCAGAGCCCCATCCAATCTGTCCTCCAACAAAAACATTGGCACTTCCTCCCCCAAAGTGCTAACTACACAGCTGAGAGGATCTCAAAGTCCCAACAAGCAAATAGGAACAGATTAACTGGGTTTTGAACATTTTTATATTCTCTGTATCAGTTCAACAAGTAAACAAAAGAAGAGAACCTCCAAAAACAAATGAGATGCTCATTATGCTATTGAAATGGTTATCAGAAGGGAAAAAATAATTTTGCATGGCTATTATAGTTTTCTAAACTTGCTCTCTGATCTATACAGATACATCTTTGTACACATCAGTTACACTGATTTAATTGCAGGATTTGCTCTACTAAAAAAATATTCAAAATACCTTTGAATTTCCTTAAATAGCTTTTATTCATGCAACAGTTTTGAACTAATCTTTTCCGATTAACATCCTGATATCTGATTCCAATTTGTTTAGAAGTACTGGCAGAGTTATATTTGGAACATAAACAGAGAGATTCTTTATATTAAAACTTCATCCTGATGCAGCTGCAGCACTACTGAATATTGTTTTGACATTATCAACAGAAGGGTTCAGAGTAGGAGAAGGAAGACGTGGAAAAAATAAGGCAAAGCTGCAGAAGGAGGAAAAACACAGAATGGGCATCCATGATCCAAGATGGACAAAGCTGTACTTTTAATGCAACATCAGTAGAACTAAAACACTTCAACATAACCAGCATACTTTTAAGATCACCTCTGTAATAATCTTTAAAGGGATATGACACAAGTCAAGCACTTATCTGAAAACTGGGGGTTTCAACCCTGCATAGTTCCATAATTTTAATCCTGAGGATTAAAATTGGAATTTAACATTGTGTTTCATGACAGTCTTGTTTCCCTCAGGCAACCTTCTTGTCATGTCAGCTTTTAAATAGTGTAAAAGTGTTAATAGACTTTCAAACAGTATAGGTCATTTAAACTGCCACTTTAACAGAAACAAATAAAAACTGAAATGGTGAAGTGCAACAACATTTCAGCCTCCAAATCTCAGGATTTGAGGGGCTGGAACACCAGTGCAGATGACTCCAGAGACTGTAAACTATGCACAGAATGCAAAATAATCTAGACATACCCACAGATACTTTTTTGTAAGTATAAAGTAACATGAAACTATATTAAACTAGCTTGCATCTTCTTATATTGTCATAACCAGACAGCTTGCATAAAGCCCTGAATTATTAAAGCATGCTTAAAATAGAGGGATCTTTCTGCACAGAAGCAATGCTTTCTTGAAGCTAAAGGGATAGCAATGAAGGCAGGAATTGGTACTGTACAACCTGGACCAACTCATTTATAATAGTGCCTTTTTTCCTACATGCCCAGCATTGGTATAATACTCCTTTATGCCTGAGAGGTGCTGTTTCAGTATTAATAAAGGATTAATAAATATTAATAAAGCTAAGATTTTTAGAAAGTACAATAAATATTGAGCACATGTAATTTATAAGATCAGGAATCCATGTATTTTCTTGAAGAGCAACACAGTTATTTTTGAAAGCTAGTGCTATTGTAAAGACCTTAAAATAGGTTCAAGCATAAAATTAAGAATTATTTCCAGAAAAAAAAAATAACACACACGTGGCACTTTAAACTGATATTTTAAGTTGCATTAAAAAGCCTTTCACTTAAAGATTTTTTTGCAAATAATACTACTACACAAGACTTCGTAAGATTTGGAACAAGATGATCAAAACACCTCTTAAGCAAGAAAAGCCAAGCACAAATGGATCTAAATTCTTCTGTAGGGAAAATTGAAATTTTACATTATAAATTCATTTACCTACATAATTGATCCACCATAACTTGTTCTACAACAGCCTGTTTTCTCCTCTCTGCAGCAACATCCTCCTGCAATGAAAAACTGGCTGAGAACAAGTGAAATATATAATAGCAGGCACTTCAAATAAGAAGTTACCCTTTAAGACAGCATTCAGAGGTCACAAATTTACCCATGCCACAATGAATCTTTTTTATATTTTTAATAGAGTCTATTTGCATAAAAAAGAGACATATAATATTCTCTGCTACGCACTCAATTTTTTATGCATATTAGTTGTAATAAATATGAGAAATCTAGTATTTAAGTTTACAGACAAAATCCTTATTTCTGTATTGTTTCTAATACATTCTGTAAGTACAATAGAGCCTGAGGAGACTCACATTATTCCAGGTTTTTCAGGTGACATAGATTCCAACTAAGAAAATAAAACTTTACCTCCAGCAATATTTAGTCAAAAAAATTCTTTTAAGGCTTTGTCTCAGTTGCAAGATTTTTCTTTCCTGCATGCCACAATAATTTTTTGCTGAGACAGGTCAATCTGAAAAACCTTTCAGGAAATATCATCCTAAAGGGGAAAGGGGATTGAACATGATCTTTTTTTATTTTTATTAGAGTAACACTGAACCGTAACCTTGTGCCATTCACTGTAAAGTGTGCAAACATTGATCATAACCTGTTACACAGAGAAACCAAAGCACACGAGGATGATCCAGGATAGCATGGAGGCCACCAGCAATAACCAGGCCTCAGCACCTCTCTTAATCTTCCACATTCTTGAAGTGTTTTACTGCATTTATTATGCCTTTTATTCCAAAAAATTAATTTTATATATGAGAAAATAGAGATTATTGTTACTGAGGGGATTTATGCAAACTTATTTTTTTTAGATATTCTGAAACTAAAGAATTAAGATCATTTTCTAATTGGTCTTGTGTGCAAAGCAAATCCTAGAGATTTAGCCTTTGTGTGGATGAAGAACTGAAAAGTTCCCAGGTACCTATAAAAGAATTCTTAATTCCATGGAAATGTTAATGGTAGAATTCACAATCTTCAAATAAATACTGACTGGCACTAGTCAAAAAAAAAAAGCCAAATCAAAAAAATCCAAATAACTAATGCAACATCAGACCAGCTGTTGGTTATTCCAAACTGATTTTAAGTTTGGAATGTTACATGCAGATACATACATACATGCAGATACGGAATTGTAAGAGGTAGGAGGCTTTTTCATTTGATTTCATGTTTCATTTTTGCACCCATCAGGTGCAAAAACCACAGGGTGCTTTATTCTGAGTTACTGATTCTTTACCCATTAACTGTTGCAACAGATGTATTAAAAAGAATGATTTAAAGGAGGACATGGTGATGGTATAGGGCAGTATTTGTTATAAGATTTTCCATAGACCCAGCTTACAGATCCAAACCAGACAGCATGCCGAAAAGAATGATTTTTAAAAAAATAAACAAAGAAAACCTTACACCTTAAGTTTCAGTTGAACTAGGTCACTGAATGTAATCTTTCATGAAATATCTTCCATTTTGCTCTTAGACAAAAGCTCTGCTATGAAATTACAAAAATGCAGAAGGCAGAGGCAAACATTGAATTTGTAGCAGCTCTCACTGCAAAAGTAGTTACTGTTGTTCCCTAAATACGAGCATTCAGAGGAAATGTTTCAGAGGTTATATATGACACCTATTGGCAATGGACTGTGAATCACAAAGTTACAGAACAAACTGAACTGGAAAGGACCTACAAAGAACATCAAATCCAACTCCTGGCACCACACAGGACCATCTCTGAATCACACCATGTACCCAAGAACATTGTCCAAACACTTCTTGAACTCTGTCAGGTTTGGTACTGTTAGAACTTCTCTGGGGAGCCTGTTCTGGTGCCCAACCACTCTCTGGGTGAAGAACCTTTTCCTTATATCCAAACTAAACCTCCCCTGACACATAAATCAGGCCATTCCCTCGGGTCCTGTCACTGGTCATAAGACTGAAGAGATTGGTACCTGTCACTCCTCTTGCCCTCATGAGGATGTTGAAGACCACACTGAGGTCTCCCCTCAGTCCCCTCCAAGCTGAACAGAACAAGTGAGGAGATTATCTGCCCCCCATACAGCTTCCACTCAAGGCCCTTCCCCATCTTTGTTGCCCTCCTTTGGACACTCTCTGATAGCTTCATGTCTTTTTGATATTGTGGCACCCAGAAGTGCCCCCAGCACTTGAGGTGGGGCTGCCCCAGTGCAGAGCAGGGCAGGACAATCCCCTCCCTTGCCCGGCTGTGATGCTGGGCCTAAGGGACCCCAGGACAGGGCTGGCCTCTCCTGGCTGCCGTGTTCAACTTGCCAGGACCCCCAGGTCCCTTTCCATGGCACTGCTCTCCAGCATCTCGTTTCCCAGTCTGTCCTTACACCCAGGGTTGTCCTGTCCCAGGTACAGAATTTGGCACTTTGTGTTGAACTTCATGTGGATGGTGATTGCCCAGCCCTCTGATTGTTGAGGTCTCTCTGCAGGGCCTCTCTGCCTTCGAGGGAGTCAGCAGCTCCTCCCAGTTTTGTATCATATGTGAACTTGTTCAGTATCCCTTCCTGTCCTGCTCCCAAGTCATTTAAGATGTTGAAGGGCACAAGGCCAAAGATGGAGCCCTGCAGAACCCCACTAGCAAACTTCCATCCCAAATTGCAGAAAAATCAAGAGAAGTTCTACTTTAACATTTGACTTTTTGGTAATGATTACAGTAAAAGGACATGTTAACATTGTGTAGTCTTGAGCAAAATTTTCAGTTAGATAAGATGAAATGCCAACAATTAAGGCAACATATACAAAATTGAATAAATATACATGAAGTTACTACTGCCACTTTTTTCCAGTATTCCACCACTACCAGAAGCTGTACCTAGGAGAGCCTGAGATGGTCCTCAAAAGAGAGAGTGAGTCAGCCTGTGCTGACCATGAGTGCTAGCAAATAACAAAAGGGTTCTGAAGAGCTTCAGTAATACCATGCTCAGACACCTGCTGGCTTTATTTTAAGGCATGGCAGCTACAGAATATCTTGCATTTTGTAGTTTTGCACTGCTCCCTTTCTCAGGGCTTTCACTGTACTTGCTTTTGCACTATGTAATTACTCTAGGGAGACTTCAAGATTTTTTTCCATTATCTTTAGCCAGTAGTATAGATTTTTTAATTTATTCTAAAAATAAAAGCTTAAGTACTTCCTCAAAAGATTTTCTTGTCATGAAAATTAACAGTGACCTCAGCAGAACAATATCTGCATTCATTTCAACAGGAATAGAAGTCAAATAAATGGTTGCAATGATGCAAAATTCAATGCATAGTGACGAGCAAATAAAATTAATTAAAATTATTATTTACTTCAAAAAATCATAACATTTCCCATGGCTTATTATTCCATGAGAAAGTTAGAATGCATAACCCTTTTCAGCAATCCCTTCAAAAATCAGTTATAAAAGCCATCACTCTGCATATGCAAATACTGAATCATGCAATATCAAATCAAGGTTCTTCATCCCTGTAAATGATCCTAAATTCAAGGCCTGCCTCAGATGGGCAAGACTCCTATTGTTCAGTCCCAAAAAAAAGTAAAATTCACATCTATGTAATAAATCAAAAAAGTGTATTGGGTACATTCATGTGAGGAAAGTTTTAATTCCCTTCTCTGCATGCTACCAAGTCCATGGTGGTTTCCAGATTTGAGGGCTCCCTCCTTCCCTCAGAAAGGACCTGACTAAAGACCAGAGCAAAAGCAACTGAAAGGAGCAGCTAAGGGAGCTTGGGTTTGTTTAGCTTGCAGAACCAGCAGCTATAAGGTATTCTGAGGAGAAGTTACAAAGAAAAGAGAACCAAACTTTTTTGACAGAAGCCCAGAGTATAATAGAAGGTAAAGGTTACACACTGAGCCTTGGCAGGACTGGTGTGGACAATAGGACGAACTTCCTCACACAGAGAGTAGCAGGTACATGAAGATGTTGCTTAGACACACTGTAGAAGCTCCATCCCTAGAGCTTAAAGACAGAGCCAAAGTTGTTGCTGACTCAATCTAATACTAGCTGATGGAATTATGGAATCCATTGAATAGAGGCTCAGCTAAAAGCTACAGATCAGAGGAAATCCTAGAATCATAGATTATCCTGAGTAGGGAGAGATCTACAGGGATCATCAAAGTCCAACTTCTGACACTGAATGTAACATTATGTTTAGGTTCACTCAACTGCTTTAGTTATTCTTAGTTGTACGAAGGTATCTGTACATATTACTCATAATTTGTGTTCTCATTTATATAGATTACTGCATAAAATACAAGCACTGCAGATAAGATTTTAAAATGCTCAGTGGATTGCTCAGTTCAGCTCTCATTGCAAGAAATGTTTAAACTCACGTGATTTCAATGGATGCAATTACATACTAGACCCAAATCTCCAAAGGCATAACTTCTGTTGAACTTTTGGGAAGCCATTCTCCACATCTAGGTGGAGAATAATAGCATACATACCAATAATATCAGCATAATACCAGTCCAAATACTTACAGCTTCTGATTTCCATATGTTGTGCTGCATATTATAAGGTTTGTTTGTATAGCATTGTTGCAGGACAGCTTTCTTATCAAGGGTTACAAAATCATCGTGTCCATCTTCAAGCTGTGTACCCTACACAAAAATACATTCTTTTTATAACTCAAATGTAATGAATTGAAATAAAAACAAACTAAAAAAATCCACATATGTTTTCCTCAAGAATTTATTTAAAAATACTACTTTTTTCTTTACTTTTTAATGTGTCTACTTCTTCCACTTCATGCTAACTAAAAGAGAATTTTTTTAAGCCTAGCTTTTTACAGAAACTGAACTTACAAGGAAAGACTAGAGAGCAAGATTTGTATCTTTTGAATACTTACCAGTTTTCATTCATACTGAAATAAATAACAAATTTTTTAAATCTCAAAAATACTGTGTTCCTACAAGCTTTGGGAAAAAACAGCAGCAAGTCAGAGAAAGCAGACTTTAGTATCTCTGAGGAGAAGCAAAGAACTCATCCCTCTTCTGCTCGGCACAGGAACAGCCAAGTGGAAGCAGAGGATTTGCTGTTAGGTATAAAGCTCAAAGCTCACTCTAGAGATACTGCTTTGTGACCAGTGAAGAAGTTAAATATAGCCTAGATAGGGAAAAGCCAAAGCATGCTACTGGTTCTAACAGACTTATAAACCAGTCCCAGAGTATTACAGAAATATTTCCTACAGGGACAATGTGACAAAAAAGGATGCAGGAAGTTTTGACAGAAACAGATTTAGCAATCTCCTCTATGAGCACCTTCTTGACAGAAAAGAGAAGTTGTTACAAGTTCCACTAATCAAGCAAAACAAGTGTATTGAAATCTTTTTGTTTATTCATCTAATCAGGTAGTGATAATATCTATCAGAAAAAAATTGTTCTGATAGACATTATATTAAAATATGTGAGAAGAATTAAGACACACGCTTCTAGCACTTAACAAGTATCTTTATGGAACCCAAAATCACCAGAAAAAAAAAAAAGCTGGTCCTGCTTTTTCTCTCCCAGCATACATTTGCCATCTATTTCTTCATTTTTAGATAACTTTGCTGCTCCTGTAAATACGCTTTTGATGGGCTTGCAGTAGTGCATATAAAGAAGTCACTCCTTGAAAAACAGATGATATGGGTATCAGACCAGTACATTAGAGTGGAATCATTAGAAAAGGAAAAAAAAAAAAAAAAAAAAACACCAAACTCTAACAAATCTCCAGAACAGAAAACCTTATCTGCCACTAAACATTAAACTAAACCACAAAACACCTCAACTTTTTTTCATTCACCTCTTTTTCACAGAATGTTTATTAATAGGTTTTTTTCAGATCCTCCTTAATCTGATCACTAGAAGCACAATTTGAAGAGAAAGCTCCTTTAATGTTATCTACAATATGTGAAACAATCTTTCTTTAGAAAAGCCTTCCCTTTTCATTCTACTGAATGTTAAGAAAGTAAATTCAGTAAACTCATTGTTATTCATCACAAACCTTTTCTCTGAAAAGCAATGAGCACAGTATGTTCTATCATTTGCATACTTAACTTTCTATTAAATTTCTTAAATGGTCATCTACCCTCAGCAGAATCCAGCACTGAACCAGTCCTCACAGCTGCTGTTACTTAGGTTCCCTGCCTCCTTACACCTACAATGATGCATCTTTCCCTGCTCATACACTCTCCTCCACTATCTCATCCAAACACTATTAAAGTTGGGGTTTTCCACCCCTCTGTTTTCCAGTTTCTCTCCACTGATCTAACCTTCTTTCCACCTTAATTTGAAAACACAAAAGAAACCTGGCAGAATTAGTACAGCTTACAGTCCAACTGTACTGAATCTCATACCATATCAAAGAAAAAAGTACAGATAATATCTTTCATTATTTTAACCCCATATTCTTTTGCATTTTCAGTGTTAACAGTCCTCTAATGAACAGATTAAATCTTTATTTTCTCCTTTTTTAAGTCCCAATATACAGAATAGTAATTAAAGTACTTCTAGACTTAAAAAAGTTTGAATGAATTTCTTGTTTTGGAAATAACACTTTACCAAGATCTTTCTGCTGTCTCTCCTCTTCTGATAGGCTTCAAGTTCTCCCCTATCAATCATGCTGACCTTCAGGCTCAGGCTAGAGGTGCACTAGGAAGGCCAGTGTTACCTTTTTACCAGAGAACACAACCAGACATAAATTCCCAGAGCACTTCAGTTTCTCTCTCTGCAACAACTGAAACAACCTTCCTACAGTTTATTTCCTCCTCAACATCAGATGTTTAAATTTACAATAAAAACATGAAATTAAGTACATACATGTGCAAACCTTTCCAAACAGTATAATGAAATATTGACGTGCATCTGTTATTTAAAAATGCAATTTCTAATTTCCAGCTACCTTTATTGAAGTGTCTGGACACTGGAGGTGGTCTTTTTTCTTTTCTGCAATTCTCTGAGGATGCTGCTTATATTCTTCCTTCATACCTCCTTCATACTGACCATGCTTCAACTTGGATCTGTCTCTGAGGGATGGCAGATTTTCTGGTCTTGTCCTCTGCTCCAAAACAGAATGTTAAAGCAATTAGTAATTTGCCCGGTTATCTCAGCTGTTTGAGGGGCCTGGAAAGGCCCGAGGTGGCCTTGGGGCAGCCCGCGTATCGAAGGACGAGAAGAGGCTTCAGTTCTTCTTTTGGTTTTTATGTTTATTAATTGTTTATCTAAAAGATGTTCTTTCAGCCGAACAGAGATCTGCTCAGCAGTCAGCCATGAGCACACTGTGCCGTCCTCCGGACAGCC